AGCCCTCTCCTAACATGTTCTGTGTTGGTGACCCTGGTTTGGCAGAACAAATAACAAGGACAGCATTGTGTTTGGTGAGGAAAGACAGCTATTATTAGTAGTAGGAAAATGGAGACTGGTCAACGTTCCATTAGTTTTCCCCATTGTGTCTCTCATCCCAAGAATGAAGAGCAGATGTGAACATGGCTGCCAGCCACTCAGATGAGAACTGACTTGGTCATGCTCATTGCAAAATTAACATTTAGGTCTTGGTGGATTTAACAAGGCACATGAAATGTATGTCTTCACGGGATTCCCAAGCTGTAATTTAGAGGTGTTTTTGATTCTAATGAAAATCTATTTTTTTACTTGCAGTAAGATAGCAAAGAAAAAAATCTCTGGAATGGTTCTGGATGCCTCAAAGGAAAATTTGATTAGATGGTCCTGTGTTTTAGTAACACACAAGAGAAACTTCTGAGTTACTTGTTTAAAACGGATGAGGTGCCCCACTTTTGATTTAAATTCCATTACACTTCTCTCCAGGAATTAGCAAAAACATTTCTAATACTAAAAATTATTAACTACTATTTGACACCAGGAAGAATAACTTGTTGGATGATAAAATTTATCCTGACACAAATATTGGTTTTGAAAATGAAAGGAAGCATCAGAAATCCTGTGTAACTCTTTGTAGAAAGAAAGATAACCCCAAGGCTTATTCCCTAGATATTTTTCTTCACGATATAGAATGAGCATAAACATTTTCACTTTTAAAGTCACAAGGACCATTAAGGAGAAAAGCTTTTCTGAATTATAGTAAAACACGATTGGTGCACACTCTGTGCTAGTCCTGTATATTTGGAATTAATTGTAATTTCATATGGATTAGGGTGACATTTACCTTTTCTATATGTATGATGAAATGATTTGTTAAATAAATTCATGCAGTAAGTAAAGGAGGAGATTTTGAAGCAATTTAATAATTTTTGTCTGCAAATAGTGCTACTAATTTCCAGCCAGTCCCTTTTCTCCCTCTTATGACAGAGATCACCAGATCTCTCTTGAGACTCAGGGCTCCACCTGTCATCTACCAGATGTTCATCTGGAGCACAGGTATCTTCTGCCATCAGGCCAAATCCCACCAGACTCTAAATAAGCTGAGTGTCTTCTCCTTTCCCTGCCTGAAGGGGGCCTGCTGGTGGACTCCACCTCTCTGGCAGTGGCACTATCCCTGTCTTCCAAGTGTATCAATGTGAGGAAACCACCTTTGGGATAAAGGCCGTCCATCCTGGGATTGTCCCCAAGTTCAGTTCGGTCTTGCAGCTGTCCTTTCAGTCTTCCATTCTTCATTCCGTTTCCTAGCCCTTAAAATAGCTCCACTGTTTTGCAGTCCTTACACCCTGATACCTGGCCTGACATCTGGCTTGTACTCTTGAGGCTTGGTTAGGACCATTCACCATTAGCCCCTCATCCCATTCTTGGGGTGGAGCCATTCAGATCTCTCCTGCTTTGCTACCTATATCTTACCTCCTTCAAAAACTAATCAAAATAATTTTTCTAAAATACTTCTTATCATTTTCCTAATTAAGGACCTTAATTAGGACCTTAATTAAGGACCTTTCCTCTCTCTGAAATCAATAAAGATATTAAAAAATAGTTTATTAAAAATAAAATTATTAGTGACTTGCAAATAAATTTTTAATATGTCTTCTTATGGCATATTACATAAAGTATAAATATCTTTTTCCTAGATGTAAAGCCCTGCATCATGTGACTGTCCTTTGGGTATTAAATCAGTAGATCAGCTTCCTTTACTAGTTCTTGAGTAGATCAGAGGATCAAGTTAGGCCGTTTTCCTTGTCTCAGCAGCCCTTCCATCCACCCCCACCCCAGCGCGCGCGCGGGCACACACACACACACACACACACACACACACACACTTCCCTCCTGTCTGTCTTTAGAGGAGGAGAGGCTGTTCCACTTGGGGTGCCCTGTGTTCTATCTATCTAAATTCTATGAAATTAAAGATAATATCTTTAAAAATCATCTTCTCCAGAAATCTGACAAACACTCTCAGTCATATGGTCCAAGTCAACATGGACTGATAAGTCATGATGACAGTATGCATCCTTGATATGAAGTGATAAGGAATGGCAACCTCTGTGATCTTCTCCTCTCCCCCCAGAATCTATAACCCCAGTCTAACCATGAGATAACCATCAGACAAATTTCTATTAAAAGAAATTTTTTTGAAACACCTCATCAGTGATCCTTAAAACTATCAAGTACTCCAAAACAATGAAAATTTGAGAAAGTTTTATAGCCAAGAGGAGCCTAAAGAGAAATTATGACTAAATACAATGCATCCTGTAAAGCAGATGTTAAGAATAGGGAAAACTGGTGCAGGTTTATGGAAAACCTGTAATATTTTTGCAATATTTTTGTAAATATAAAACTGTTCAAAAATAGTTTATTAGCCCAGCCAGACATGGCTCAGCGGTTGAGCATCGACCTAGGATCCAGTTGATCAGGGTTCAGTTCCTGGTTAGGGCACATGCCTGGGTTGCCGGCTGCAGCTGATCAATGACTCTCATCATTGATGTTTCTATCTCTCTCTCCCTCTCCTTTCCTCTCTCTGAAATCAATAAAGATATAAAAAAATAGTTTATTAAAAATAAAATTATTAATGACTTGCAAATAAATTTTTTAAAAAAATTAAAATCATCTCCAAAAAACTGAGATTGAGTTTCATCCCACAGTGAGCTTCTAAATAATCTTGAAATATATCATCTTCTGTATCATCTTGGGATCCAAGAGCTGGAGTGAGTCACACCTCACATCGAGTTTGGTACGCCCTCCCACAACAGCCTTGAGGGATTCATTCTTCCCTCAAACCTGGTACTGGACTAGGGCTCTGTGATGGGCTGTGGATGCAAAGATCAAACAAAGTGCCTATTCTCAAGAAGCTTACACTCCAATAGGGGAGTAAGACAGTTTATTACTAAGCAGGAAAGAAGAAGGGACAGAAGACTGTACAAGGCAGGGTGGTGCCACAGGGGAGAAAGCGACTAAACTGAGCAACAGGGAAGAGGAGTGATGCTTGCCCTGTGTCCTGAGGGTGAGCAGGAATTATGCAGCAGACAAGCCAGAGAAAGCGCCCAGGAAGGGAGCCGCACAGAATGGTCTTTCTTTTTCTGAATTTCTCTAGCATGTGTGCATCAGTTGGCATCATACCACCCTGCACTTGTTTGTACATCACCTGGAAATCAATGTCTTGTTTAACAAACATCTTTACATCCTCCAAACAGAAGATCTTTTTTTAAGAAGGGCCATGTTTTCTGTTGCGTTTGTATCCCTCGCATTGCTTTAGTAATGTCAAACACAAAGTAGGGGCTACTTTTTGTTTCGTTTTAATGTAATGGGTTACTATAGTCTCATTGTAATGATGGATTTGCCCTGCTCGTCCAGCATTCTGAATTCCAACCTTTCATTTCTTGCTGCCTCTGTCTCATGTATCTATCCTTCATTTACTTCTCTGACCACCAACACTGCGTGCACACAAGATGACTGGTCCATATTATGAAAGAGTCTTTGGCTACAGAATGAAATAGAACTAATTGGGCTATATGGACTTGGAAGCTGTGGTCTTGAGCTTCCAGACTGATGGTTTAAACAAGTGAGTTAACCAGCCACAGGTCGGCGCTACATACTTGCTTGTTGAATGATTTGAATAATCCCTTTATAGTATTTTAGACATCATAAGTTACGGTCATTCTGAGCTTGACAAGTCATCACAAAACAATTCTTTACTTATCAGTGATACTTAAGACCATTAGGATCTTGAAACCGGCCTGCTTCTGCTCTGTAGCAACACCCACCACCATCTCCCCTCAAAGTATTTGGCTCTAGTGTGGCAAAGTGAAACAGGATAGAGTATTTGAAGACTGTGGGAGAAGAGAGGTCTGTGGCAGTTTTTTCTTTTATGGTAGATGTGACAGACACAGCAGCTAATTTCTCCCAATATCTGTCCTCCCTTCTTCCGTATTAGTAGAACTCTTGATTTCTAGCTGGGCATGTGGTAACTCTCAATTAATATTCAGTTTCCCACACTCCCTTGCAACTTGTGGCAATATGACTAAATTCAAACAATGGGATGTGGGAGGAAGTGATCTAAACAACTGCTGGGTGGAGTCCTTTAAGGGAACATGCTCTCTTCTTCCTAATAGTTTTTTCACCTTCCTACTGGCTGGGGTGTGGCTGTGAAGGTTAGTTAGCCTGCACCTTGGAGATGAGGGCAACTCCTTTGGGGTGGAAGAACAAGATACAGTAGCCTTCCCTTATCTGTGGGGGTATGTTCCAAACCCCCCAGTGGACGCCTGAAACTGCAGATAGTACCGAACACTGTATATGTAATGTTTTTTCCTATACATACCTACCTATGATAAAGTTTAATTTATCAATTAGGCACAGAAAGAGATTAACAACAATAACTACTCATAAAATAGAACAATTCTAAAAATATACTGTAATAAAAGTTGTGTGAATATGGTCACTCTGATAACCGAACTGATAACGGAGATGGCTAATAAGTGACTAATGGATGGGTAGTATATACAGCACGGATCCTCTGGACAAAGGGATGATTTACCCCCCCAGGTGGGACAGAATAGAATGGTGTGAAATTTCATCACACTACTCAGAATGGCACGCAGTTTAAACCCTATGAATTGTTTATTTCTGGAATTTTCTATTTGATATTTTTGGACCACAGTTGACCACAGGTAACTGAAAACACGGAAAGAGAAACTGTGGATAAGGGGGGACTACTATAGAAGGAACCTAAGGCCCTGACCGGAGCTACCACATGAGTCCGAGGCTGCTTATGCCCCGAGCTGTTATGTCAGAGAGAAATAAGCAATGATTGTTTTGGGTCTCTGTTTCAGCAGCTAATTAATACATTGGGGGATAAAAACATTATGAGGTTCAAACAGTGTCAGCTGATATGAACAAGATGAGAAACATACTTTTAAAGATATTTAATAAGATTTTTTTTCAAATCAGTACAAAAATTTAAATACAAAAATGATTTGCTATTGACAAGTCTCAAATCTATCATGAAAACTCGAAAAAGTTAGCAGTCTGTTCACTGCACATGATATTCTGTAAAATATTTGAGAACAGTCACCCACTGCAAACATTTCTTTCCCCTTATGGGATGTCATACTGCTTAAAACTCTGTATTTAAATAACAGTAATGCCAGTTGTTTCCTTTATTACATGGAAAAGTTCTAGTTAGTTTTGAATTGAATAGGGATTGTAGTACTATCCCTAGACTTTAGAATTTGTGGTTATTTCTTCTGGTTTTACACTAATGTGTTAACATGATGTGCAATACTCAAAAGAGAAACATAGATACATAGATAATTATTTAAAACTCTTTTTTTTTAAATTAAATGGAGTAATTCATTTGCTCTGAGATTAGCACCATTGTAGAATACACAGTATCTGGCATAGATTTTGCTCCTGCACCATCTAAAAGTTAGAAGCATATGCCCGATTATATACACACATACACACACACACGCGCGCACACACACACACACACATATATATATATATATAGGCAATTGAGTAACAACCAATAAATAAGTTGGAAGGTATTTTGAAAAGTGAAATTTGGTTTTAACTAAATAGGTACTTTCTCTCTTGGTGGAAATAAAAAGCCCATACATGTACAGATAAATACAGTTTTACAAATCAGCTGATCTGACTTGCTTCCAAGCCATTTCAATGCAGCTGTTCAGCAGAAGGAGCCCAATGGACCCACATTGCCCCCATAGTCATCATGCCAAGACCAGCATCCTCAAGACCAACCCAAAGGATATTGGGCCACATAAATGCTGTCTGCTTTGAAAATAAATTTTGTCATACAATTAGCAGTGAATAAGAAACCCTGTGATGATGAACTCATTTCTCTTTTTAAGAAATTGAGAAGAAATGGTGCTCATATACTATAAAAGGGAAAAGATAGATAATAGATTGAGAATTTTCTTCATAGTTAAAATGATTCAGATTTGACATAGACACATTTTTATGTGTATTTATACCGTATTTATTTGTGTCATTTCCCACCTGTAACTATCCCCTTAACTCCTCGTTCTTAATTTAGAAGGAAAGATACAAGATACCACCACCGTAACCCCACATTATTTCCCCCCGTGGCTTAGTGATAGCAGTAGACTCATAGCTGAGTTGAAATGCTTTGTCTGTGTTTTGATACCAGATTTGAATGCTAAAAAGCAGTTAGTATGTACCTAAGTGAAAACCTGGAACAATATTTATTTTTCCCTTTAAACTTTTATTGACTCTTGCCTTGTGCTGAGTGTGGGGTGACATGAAAAGCATGAGCTATCACTGCCCGTTGACATTCCAGAAGTTCTTCCACAAATTGCTTCTAGAAAAACAGTTCTTTTCCTATAATTTTAGTACCTACCCCAGGAAGTAGTACATTAACTTTTAAATTTAAAGCTTCAGAAATTTTTTTTTCAAAAAGATTATTTTCCTATGTAATTCTGAAAATCTGCCCTCCCTCCCAAATAAAAGGATGGCTTGGATGTTTGGAAGTTGACTTTGAAACATCAGATGACACACTGATTTGCATGCGTACTATACAGAGAAATTTCTTTGAAATCCAGCAGCTACTAAAAAATATTGATATCCCTTTTATTTGTGTGTGGAGGCAAAGGAGAGTTTTTTTTTTTATATGTATGTAAGTAGAGTTAATAACTGCTATTAATAATAAGCATTCCACAAAACTGAAAAGTTACGGGAGGAGAGGGTTATTTTTTTTCCTTATGACTTCCAGGTGTTTGTATTAGTTGGGTCATAGTGAAAATCACACAGAGGGAAGAAAAAGGAGAAGTGAAGCAGTAAAAAAATAAACACCAAAAGAACCCTTGAGAAATAAATGAGTTATTTACTGCTCATGTCTCCCAGCTGGTCGTTAGCTGCTTGTGGGGCACTGTCTTATGTCCCACGGAAGTGTCTCACCCAGTGGGAGGCACGGAGAAGGCACTGAGTAGATACACAATGGCTGACTGGTTCTTCTAGACACACAATTCTGAGTAGGACTTCTGAGGCTAAAGTACACACCCTCTGACAGGAGAGAAACAGCCCTTGCAGCTAAAGCCCTACCATAGCCCCGTCCCCTCCCACCAGCTCAGGACTCCTCCCCCCTCTCCCATGGCCAAATATCTGCACAAATACAGAGGGAATTATGCAAGTAAATACGGTATGTAATTATTAGCACTGACCTTTCTTTAAGCCATAGTTATAAATATTTAAAAGTAAACAATATGAGTGACTTTCATTCGCTATGATCTTTCATACTGAAATATTCTGACTGGTATTCTGCAGGGCATCATGGGAGCACATAACATCCAACAGCTAATAGGATTCCAGTGGGTACAACACAAGTGTCAGCACTCGATACACAAATCTGTCCCATCGCTCTCTGTCACCAGATGCTGCGCAGAGCATCAAACACGCATCTTAGCTTTTATTTGTACATGATGTTTCAAATTTTCACTTAAATATAACTTTCCAACTATATAAATGTTTTGAAGCAGTTACGGTTTTCATTTGGATTTTCTGGTGCATCACTTTCTTTTCTTCTATTAAATCTCTCTCCACTTCTTTTCTTTTTTACATGGGATACAATAAATACCCTGAAAAGGAGGAGTGGACGTACTGCCCGGCGTACAGCCCCGCGGCCTGTTCTGAGGGCATCTGCAGGAACACGCGGTCCCCGGGCCTGAGCAGCAGCACCGCGCTGCCCGACGCCTGGTCCAGGAAGCCCTTCTTGTACTCGTCGTACGTGTACATCACGGGCTCGTTGTTCTTGAACAGAGCAACCCACACGTTGCCCCCCTTGCAGTGAACGTGGTAGGCAAAGTAGTAGACGCCTGGGACTTCGCAGGTGAAGATGCCCGTCTGCGGGTTGTAGTTCTGTCTGCCGTTGTAGAGCAGTTTGTCAAACTTCACCGGGGCCCCCACGGGCGGGAAAGGTGCGGTCAGCTCGGCGGTAAACGCAGGCATCTCGTAGGCTGGCCCCCCGTTCTTGCCTTTCTTACCCCCATAGGCATGGGGGGGTTTCACGCCATCAATTCCCAGCCCCATATCTGGCAGGTATTCTCCATGGGGAGGTGGTGTAGGGGGCATCACAGCTGGGGGGCCTGGGGGGCCGGGAGGGCCTGGGGGCCCTGGAAGGCCAGGCTGGCCTTGAGGACCCAGGGCACCGGGCTTTCCTGGGGGGCCATGAAGTCCTGCTACTCCGGGCTTCCCTACTCCAGGGAACCCAGGGGGCCCTGGGAGGCCAGGTTCCCCTTTGGGGCCAGGAATTCCAGGTGGTCCAATAGGGCCACTAGGGCCTGCAATACCGGGGATGCCTGGGGGGCCCTGTAAACCCTGATCCCCTGGGATTCCTGGTTCTCCCTTTGGTCCAAGCAGTCCTGGAGCACCGGGGAGCCCTGGCAACCCTTTATGCCCAGCTTCCCCCTTGGGCCCTATGGGACCTGGCAAACCTCTTATACCAGGGGGACCCACTTCACCAAGGAAACCTGGCTTTCCTGGGAAGCCTTGAAGCCCTGGCTCACCCTTGGGACCTGGTGGCCCCTGTGGTCCTACAACCCCACCTTCTCCTTTGGGTCCAGGAAAACCAATAGCACCTGGAGGGCCCATAGGACCTGGGATTCCAGGCAGGCCTGGCTCTCCTGGGGGACCCCCCAGTCCAGGGGCACCTATTGGTCCTTTCTCCCCTCTTGGTCCCAGAGCCCCAGGAACACCCCCTATGCCCTTGTCACCTTTGGGTCCTGGAAAGCCTGGTTTCCCGATACCTGGCAGGCCTGGCGGTCCTGGCAGCCCTGGCAGTCCTTGCTCCCCTTTGCCACCTGGAAATCCTGGCTGGCCAGGGATCCCATCCTGGCCTGGTTTTCCAACTCCAGGAATCCCGGGAGGTCCTTGAACCCCTGGTATCCCAATAGGGCCCTGTGGCCCAGGTTCACCTGGAGGACCTGGCTTTCCCAGGGGGCCCTGGGGCCCAGGGAAGCCCGTCACTCCTGGTTTGCCCACTCCTGGAAGCCCGACAGGGCCTGGGGGGCCATTCATCCCTGGAGGACCCTTCAGGCCGGGCAGACCTGGCATCCCGAAGCCCTTCTCTCCTTTAGGGCCCTGAAGGCCTGGAGGTCCTGGTGGTCCTTTGAGTCCTCTCTCACCCTTTGGACCTGGTTGCCCTGGTAACCCAGGTCCACCTGGCTTCCCAATACCAGGAAGTCCGTGAGGCCCTGGAGGTCCTTGTGGTCCTGGGATCCCCTTGGGCCCCATCTCCCCTTTGGGTCCAATTTCACCTTTTGCCCCTGGCATTCCCATGGCTCCTGGCTTTCCTGGCATTCCAGGCATACCTGGCTTTCCAATTCCTGGATATCCCTGTGGCCCTGGTTTTCCTTTGATTCCAGGTATCCCATGACCTGGTAAACCGGGGGGCCCAGGTGGTCCTCTTGGGCCAGGCTCTCCACGAGGACCTTGTTCCCCTCGTAAACTGGCTACCGGTACTTCTACTGGAAAAGAGAAGAGAGAGGAAGAGGGAGAGAGGGAGGGGAAGACAGAGAGTGATTGATATTGGTTATCCTTCACTGTAAGGAAGTCATGACAATGATTAATTAGTTCTGGCATGTCTGCCTGTTACTTATTGGAAGACGGAATCTTGCACTCATCTTCCAGGACTGTCAGTTATCAGGATCTGAAGGATAATCAGGATGATAATGTCTTTGGCATATTCGAGAAAGTGTTTTGAGAACCGATAGCTACTTTGTCAGCATTGGTTAAGTGAAAAAGCCAAAAAGTAAAAAACATTTTTCCAAGTATAAAACTTGGAGATATTATGGTGTGTTCACTATAGATAATCTAGAAAATTCACAAAAGGGTAAAGGAAAATCAAAGTTGCTTATAAGCCCACTATTCAGAGATAATCACTTGACATTTGTATATATATTTCCATCTGTGTCCAAGGGTACGTGTGTGTGTGTGTGTTTGAAACAATGCTGGAATCATTCATTTTTATTTTTTCCATTTTTTTTTACTACTTATTGTTGTATTGTAATTTTCCATGTCCTTGATTTTTTACATAATAATTTATGGCAAAAAATATTTTCTCTTGTGCAAAAGTACAGTATAATGTAGATGATGAAAGCCATCATGTGGACTCCAAGAAGAAATGAAGCATTTTATTTTGTTTGTGGTTTAATAACATCTTCCACATCTGTCCTCTAGAAGAGATTTGCTTAATTTCTTTAATGTGTTGTAGATTTCCTAAGCCTCAAACAGTGATTCTTTAATATGTTATTTCTCATTTGTGAATTTGTTTTTTAAACAAGAGAAGTGAAAAAAATATTTTAGGATGTCAAGCAGTGTGGATATGGAACAGAGCTGGGATTAGGAGCAGGAAGCTCAGCTTTTCCTCCTGGCCTTGAAGTGAGATCTTCATTGGCTCACTTCAGCCATCAGCATCCCTGCTTGCCCTTCTGTACAGTGACAGTAATAATAGCCGACCCTACAAGATTAGGTAATGGATGTGAAAGGTGTTATGCTTTCTCGAATTGTTATTGAAGCACAAAACATATGCTATTTTAAATGATTATGCTGTGCCTTGCAGAGAAACGTAACTCTGGAATCCCCCATGCTACTGGGAGTAATGGATGACATACAAGAAGTAAAATTTATGGTCCCAAAGTCTTATTTCAACCAGTGGTCGCATCTTAATTCTGGTTGTTGTATTTTTCACCGAGCTACTGTCAGGAACAAAATAGAACACAGAACTCCTATTCTTTCCAGATTCCCTGATTGAAATCTGGTTCCCATCTGAGTAAGTGCAGAAAGTGCCAAAAGCCAGGCAGGCCATTCAAGAAAGGGAGGAAAACAAACGGCCGAGATAATCTCCATAGCGGGAATGTCAGCTCCTAAAGAGAAGAAAACTGGGAATACTTCTTTTATGCTAATAGATATTATTAGAGTACTGTTAAGGTGTGTTGTTTCTAACAAACTATAGAAACGATCCCTGAAAGTACAGTTGTGGCCTGTTATTTCTAAGCAGTGAATTGTGTAGCTAGTATGCCAAGGGAGCAACCTGGGCAAGGGCCACATCTTACCCATCAGGAATCCCTGGGGTCTAGCACAGTGCCTGGAGCTTACTCTGTGCTTACTTAGGGTTTACCTCATGACCAGCTATAGCAACTCAAAGTTCTTATGGTGCTTTAGCATTAACTTAGCCCTTCTATTTACCTTACGTTATTGATTCTCTCAACAATCTTACTTTACAGATGAAGAAAAGTAATCTCAGAGAGGTTAAATGACTAGGCCTTCCTCATTTCTGGCCTCCTGGCATCCAGGCGTCTTAGTGCCAAATCCAGGAGTTTCTAGATGTAAGGCTTCTGTTTCCACAGGGACCAGGGAGATGGCCTCCACTTCCTCAAAGGGAGTTGCTACTCTGATCAGTTCCCTCCCTACAAATGCAGGGTTTTCTAGAACTCAAGATAAACCAACTGAATTTATAGGGGAGTGTCACAGTGATAGGCATTTGATAGGTGTTGACTAACTGATAAGCATGCCTGGAAAGTAATGGGAGAGTGTCTCAGGTATCATCTCTAGGTGCAGTCCATATTCCTTATTCTCCTGCCAGTTGATTGATTGACATGTGTAGCAACTTAATTAGAGCAGTCTTAGAAGCAAGCACTTGCATTACCTAACACCTAGTTCACGAAATGCTTTCATATGTATATATATACATTTTAGACACAGCAGGTCCACACAACCCTGCTCTCCTAATTCAGAATGCTGATGGTCACCTTTCTGGTGTTTTTTTCCCCACTGCTTTGTCCCCCAGCATGTAGTCCGGAGCCTGGCACAAAAATAGATGCTCATTAAATAATTGCCAAATGCTTGAATAAATATGTGCTGAATGAAGAAGTAAACTATTTATTATTAAATATGTTTTCCGTCATTTGATGCTGATAAAATAAAGCACAATGTAAAATGGTAATTGTGTCTGGGTCTTTAAGACTTGAGCTTTACAAGGAGAGAGTTTAGGACACAGTCGCATTTAGTGAATGTTAATAATACATTCTAACATAAAAATTTCTGAAATTTAGTTCCCCCACCCCAACCCCAGCCAGTCTCATAGTTTAGGGTTTTAGGAGGCGGCTGCTCTGTAATAGCGCTGGAGTACGATGTTACCTTTGCCTTTCTTGGGAGCTGCCTCCTTGCCCATCCTTGGCATCGGCTGAATTTCCTTCATATATTGGGGCAGATGTGGATACTCTTTGCCATACTGCATATGGGGAAGCTCCTTGCCCATGGTAAGGCCATCTTTGCTCAAAGGCATGTGAGGTACTTGCTGGCCCAGGGGTTGGTACTGTGGAATCTGCGGTTGGATCTGAGGAATCTGAGGCAGCGGCTTGATCCCATAGTAGGCGCCGGCCTGAATGAGCCTGATGGAGCCCAGGGAAATGGTAAGCAGCACTCCCAGCAGCTGCAGAGGGGCAGGTGGCACAGCCATCACCTGGAGAGAGGGAAGAAAGGCGCCAACATGGTGAAAACTGCAGGCCAGGTGATTGCAGTGCGTTTAGAGAAAAAAGGGAAAAAACCCCACAAGAAAACAGTTTATATCAGAACTTCATGAGAAGACAAATGAAAAGAAAGGTGTTAGCTTTCAATAGAAAACAAAGAAAAATCCAATGAAAAATAGAAAGTGAAGGTAGTTGGTGGGACTATCAATAATAGGAGAGACTGGAGTTGTCTCTGAATATCATTCCTGCCATCTTCTAAAGTATTTCAACCCCTGACTTTCAGCTGAATTGTAAGAAGTTTCTTCATGTAATAGTCTGAAAATATCATTACAAAAATCACCATCATAACTATGCACATACAGGGATGCTTTTTCTTCTATTTAAATACTGTGAAGTCATTCATGTAGAATTTCGCTAATTGGATCTGAAGTCCATTAAAATTTATCTTTGCACTATTGTGAAAGAAAGGCGTTTACAAAGCAAATTAGTTGTATAAATAAGATAGAGATGTTTAAGTACTCATAAGAATAAACTGTTTCTAATCTATTTAATAACACCCTTTGCAAATTAACAGTTGATAGAATAAATATAAATGGGGCTTACGTATCTGTTTATAAAAACTAGCTTGAAAAGACCTCCAAAAATGCCCAGGGCTGAAGACCCAACAGCCCAGGAAACTGCAGTGTTTACAAAAGTCCACTAGAGGGCAAGTGTGGTACACATCGAGGTCTGTTCAGTTTCTCATTCCCAGGGCTAACGCCAGACACTCGGCTCTCGCTCCTTATTAAGGGACTTAATGAAAACCTGACTCATAAGTGGAGCCATCATAATCCTGGGGATAGCTCTGTGTGTGTGTGTGTGTGGGGGGGGGCAGAGATTTTTAGTGTATCTTCTGGAAAACAATTAAACTTCTTTCTATAAATTATTTAATTTCCATTCTCCTGAGAGTTTGTTTTCTTTGCTTCTGCCTTACTTAATACTAGAGCATAGTTTTCCACTTCTTAGAAAATGTGCATTGACTTTGCAATATCCTATTCAAAAGTAATGCCAAGGGTGTGAACAGGCTACAGATTGTTTAATAAAAAGCACCTAAGAAAATATTTAATTAAAGGATCCCTACCACAAAACTCACTGCTCTACAGTTTTTCTAAATATACTAACTGGGGGGGAAAATGAAGAAACATCTGTCAGCAAAATAATTTATAAAACTCTCAATTTCATAAATCAGAATAGTCTCAAGAATTGTTTATTTCAAGTGTTCTCTAAATAATTTATGTACTGATAAAATGGGAGAAGATAGAAAGCTGTTATTTTCTGTCCATCTAAGAATGATTGTCATAAACCATTTGGATAAAGCCACAAAATTATTAGTGATTTATACAGAATAATAGTCAAATTTATTTCAGGTGAAAAAAAGAACTTCTGCTTTTAAGTAGTTAACAATAATTTATTGAGTACTTACCAGGAACAATGCTAGGCCCACCTGGGGATTACAAAGAGGAATATAATATGGGCAGTGGACCCTGCCCTCAAGGCACTTATAGGAGGAGTGACAGATGTGTAAACTATTAATGAGTAGCAAAGAATATCCAGAAAAAAGTGAATTTCCCTTCCACTTCTGTTCTTTAGTATCTAAAGTCCCTTTCCCTTAAGTCAACAACTTTCCCAAGTTTTCTTTACATTTTTTCCAGATATATTTTATGAATATGCACATATAACACACCCCCCTTTAAGACACAAATTACAGCATACCATACACACACCACTATTCCTTACTTTTTTCACTCAGAAGACCAGAACTTCAGACGTTCTCATCTCAGTTTTGTGTGTCTGAACAGATTCTCTTCAACTCCTTCATTTGTTAAAAATGAGACTCGACTGTTCTCTAAAGTCGCATCTGGCTCTAATACTCAGTGTCTAGGGCAGTCGCTGGAGAGGCGAAGGTGTTAATCTGTACCAGAAATGCCTGGTAATACCTGGTAATGTACATGCTGCGACTTAATTCTACCTCTGGGGATGAATTAATTTAATTATTAAACCCTAAACTTGTGGTGATGTCTTTAATAAGCTAGCATGCTTGGCCCTTCCCCCTTCCACCAATTCAGTGGGTGTGTTGGGTTATACTCAACAATCTCTAAAGCAGGAGATTCTGATGAAACGCTGGAAAACCGGAAGAAGGCAAATGCCTGGAAGAACCGGAGTTGAATACGAAAGGCTCAGTGGGATCCTGCTTTACCACAATTATTTCCTCTCACAGGCTTGGCCTTCCTCTCCCCCAAACCGCCTCCTTGGTTCTGCCATCTGCAACACTGCTCTGACTTTTTATTTAAGTAAACTCTGTTCAGTTTTAACTTGGGAATATTTATGTAGGAGCCCCGGTTAGAATTTACCGCTTGACTTATCCTTACTAATTTCCCTCTTGTCCCTGAGGATATTTTTGGTGGTCAAAGTGTGTGTGGTGGTTGGTGGTTCTCCCCCAGTCACTCAGAAGAACATCAGATTCTTGTAACACTATACAAACACCTGGCTGGGAAGAAATGGTGGGAGTGGATTTTCCTTCCTCTCTTTTCTTTTTCCGAGGATGCAGAACACAATAATGTTTTGAGTTCTGTTTGATGGTTTTTAAAAATTCCTACTTGATAATGTGTGTATGTGAATATACATGAACATATATAACGTGTGTGGACACGGGCTCTTGGCCAGCCAAGCTCGCTTAGTAACGGGTATCATGTCACATAGGAAAAGCATCCAACAAGCCGAAAGACCTGGAGTTGAGTTGTAGCTCTGTGATTCTCCATGTCTGTGACCTTGGGCAAGTCCCTTATCTTCAGCCTCAGTGACCTTACCTTTACATTAGAAATTATAATCTCTGCCTCTCCCACAGAGAAGTTCAACGACACAAATAATAACATAAAATCTTTGTGAGCTGAAAAGCACTATTTAAATTTAAGTTATTATTAATGGAGTGTGACCAAAAAGACAAATCAAAACCAACTGAAATGTCAAAGATTTTCAAAGGAGGATACCAGCCAAAGTAAATGTGAGGTTAACTGCAATAATGATAAACCTAACATGAATAAAAAACAATGGCCATTAAAATGCACATATTAAAAATGGCAAAAAATATATAAAAGATCAGTGGAACCAAGGCTGTAATTCATTCTGGTGTCAGAGTCGCCAATCCTAATCATTTTGAACAGCCGTAAATGGTTCCCTATATTTGGACAGGGCTGCAGAGAGTTTCAGTTTCCTCATGTGACCTATAATGTATGTAACAGAATAATGTGATATATATTATTTTAGACGCTCCTCAGCATTTTATTTGTACATTTATCCTCATGAAATTTTAGCTTGCTGTCCAAAAGAATGCTTAAGTATTTAAACTTTCAGACTTTGCCCAGAATCCAACTTTCCCTTTCCCATTGGGCTCACACAGCATGTCTGTGTAAGCACATGTGTGTGTGTGTGTATCCACGTTGTCTGTGGTGTGCTCAAGCCTCTCTCTTCTGCTCCTGGTAATCCGCCCCATGCACAAGGCTTGTAGTTACTCAAGGCCTCAGATTTACCACACCTGGAGCAAGGGCAAGTCCAGCAGAATCCTACTCCTCCACTCACCAGGATTGCCGCCTTGGCTTTTCCATGCCTCTCAGAGAAAATTCTCTCCTGATGGCATTTCTCAGGACAATTCATTTCTTATATATTTATATTTTATTTATATAGATATTTCTATTTATATAGATATTTAAATTTAGGAACTGTTCTGGGCACTGGAGATAGAGTGGTCCATCAGAGAGATGCGGTTCCTGATCTTACTGAATTCGCATTCTAGCGTGGGGACACAGGCAGTAAACAATATAAACAACTTTAATGTCATATTTGAGCGCTGTGAAGAAAACAAAGCAGGGTAAAGGGCTTGAGAGTGACTTGGGGTGGAAGACACCGTTTTTGTTTTGGAAAGGGTGATGAAGAAAAACATTTCTGAGGATGTAAATTTTGGATAAAGATGTGAAGGTTAAAGGGTCTTTAAGATGCAATTCTGAAAAGAGTCATATTTATTGGAATGGGAGTTGTAGGTACCTTTCACTAATGCACACCTGCTTCAAAACTCTATTCCTCACCCGTGTCCACCCTCATTTTGACCGCATCATTCACGGTATTCTCTCTTCCTGAGCTCTCCCCCTCCTCCTTCCCCTCCCCGTGGCCTCCATCTCCACACTTCAGCCCCACTGTCTTAGTTCGCTAGGTTGCTGTAACAAATTACTTCAGATTGGGTGGCTGAGACAACAGACATCTATTTTCATACAACTCTGAGTCTAGAAGCCTGAGATTAAGGTGTGGGCAGGGTGTGTTTCTTTTGAGGCCTCCTTGACTTGTAGGTGGCCACCTCGGCCCTGCATCTTCACGTGGTCTTTCCTCTGTGTGTCTGTGTTCTCCTGTCCTCTTCTTATAAGGACAACAGACATGTAAGATTAGGGTCCACCCTGGTGAACTTACTCTCATTTAATTACCTCTTTAAAGACTCTGTCTCCAAATGCAGTCCCATTCTGAGGTACTGGGGGTTAGGGTTTCAACATATTTTGGGGAACACAACTCAGTCCCACGGTGTGTACCATTCCTCTAGACCAACTCAATTCCTTAGCTCTTCTACGAAGTCTCCCCTACCTTCTCAACCATCATGAGTCTCCGGGTCTTACTGGAAGTTTAACAGAGAGTGAAATGTAATTCCAGTCAATCTTATGATTTTTGTATTGCTCTTGTCCATTAGACCTCAACATTATTAAGCTTCCTGAAGACAAGGAGAATTTGACCTTCTCAACGTTGACTGATGGATCCTCACAGTCCGAACTCGTAGTTCAGCCTCACTCCCCACTTAGAATCCTGCCCACAACGGACGCTGATGGAAAGCCCTCACTTTCCTACTTGAATATTAATAATGATGGGAACATTCATAAGGCAACCTATTACCTTGCTGTGCCAATTTTGTTGCTATTTTTATTATCTGAGCAGCTCATAGGGGAGGCCCACCTTTTTGATTCCTGGGTGGGAGCGCACATGTAGCTTATGTTTAGTGGGGGATAGGGAAAAGACATTAAAATATGTATCCCAATTGGCTAAGGCAAATGGCTAAGGCTAGATGGTCACATGGCCTTTTATTATCCTGCAAATAAGCTCAACTTAGGGTCCTCTAACTAGAGACATGTAACTGTTGCATAACTGATTAGTAATACAGATATTAACTACTCTGTAAACTATGTTAAATTCTCTCAGGTTATAGTTTTATTGCCCTTTAGAATATTAACTAGTTTATCTAACTTAGCATTAGCTCAGCATTCTCTTTTACCCCAGGTTTTTAGTATTTTATTTCAAATTGACTTTGCTATCATGTTAAATAAAACTTTGATGTGTTTTCACTTATGAATGAGAATTGTGTTTTTAACATGTTGAGAATTATGCTTTGATGGGGACGCAAAAGCCAGACAAAAGCATAAATATATGATGTGTCAAATGATCGGCAGAAAAACAATGCTGGAGACGGGA